CTTTCCTAAATCTGGAACTAAACTCGGTGTTCTCAAGTGTCAGCACTCCTCTAATCAGGAATTTTCTGTGGATCCCATCAATAATGATGTCCCAAAGCCTCCTATTCCTGCTTCGGTTCAGAACCCACATCTCAACCCTGCAATGCGTGAAGAAGCATCATTTATCAAACAACCCCATTTAAATCCCTGAGCACTCCCCAGTCTGTCTATTGAATTAAGGCAATTAAAATGCACACTAGAAATGAATTAAGCTGAATGGGCTACCTTAATTCTGCAGCTTCCTAATGGAGATGCTTACTGCCTTAGCTGTCTTCTGGCTAGGGCTGCAATGGAACAGCATTGTCTTTATAGTAACATCTCCCATGGTGTTTGGCCTTCTTCAAGAGGAAGTCAGAATTCCTTTCTCCCAAACATCCATTCCATATAAAACGCGATCCGTAAGCCATGCCTAATTAGGGAATGTAAACTTCCTTCATCCTCAGAGCCGTCAGGGCTGGGACCGCAGCCAGGTACCGTGGGCTGGAACCGGGGGCCATCACCAGCAGCCACCTCTGGTTTGCCAATATTTGGCCACCGCAGGCTCAGCACAGAACGCCCTCCCTGGCCTGCACCGTCTTATCACAGCACCTTTTCCTATCACAGGACTTTTACTCCATCCTGACTCATTCCCAGTACTGTACACTGGACTGAAATTCCTAACGTCAGGTCAGCAGGTGATTCTGAGGGCAAAGTTAAAAGAAAATTAACAAACATTTCAAACACACATCTTCTTGCCAGGTAAAGAAGCATCATCTTTGTCATTTCTAATTTCAAGTCCAGAGTTCCAGCTCAAAGGAAAACAAAAAATAAAATGAAAAAAGCTGTAGAAACAGATCTTTGAAACTCAGCACAGGACACTCCATGCCATTGAACTCCCGCCACCTTCCACTTGTGAGAAAAAGTATCTGGTAAGAAAATCCCTGTACAAAGACTCGCACAGGAAAGCCTGCTGGACTGCTCAGATCGAGACAATGCTTTAGCTACACACCAGTAGGAACTTTTAGGTGTAAACAACAGTTTTAGGCAAAGTAAATTAACTTCAGCTGCTCTGGCAGTTGGGCATTTTCTGAATAGAATTAACATGAACAACCCTCGCTGGGAAGGAAAAACCTGTCATTCTCACACTTTTATGTAATCAGACTATTTCCTGTTTAATAAAAAGGAAATCCCATCAAGAGAGAGCAGGAAACATGCCCTACAAGGTCATTCTTTTAAAACAACTTTAAACAGGATATTGCTACCAATGAGCTCTCCCAAGACAAAGGGGCCTAATTCAAAATGAGGGTGAGACACTGGTGTGTTTTAAAAAACCACACATTTAAAAACGTTCTGTGTCCCAATACATGCAACCCATTCAAAGGGATCAAGTAGAAACATCACTATAACCCAAACCTATGTTTTCACAAGGCAACAACATGCAAATATTTTACAAACTGCCTCAAAGCCAGGAAAATGAGATCTGCTGAAAAACAACCTCTCTGTGAAAACCATATTTGGTTTGGGTGGAACAGCCAAAATGCCCTTTCTAAGGTAAGAAATACATTCCTCAGGACAAACCTTTTACCCCCAATAGCTACAGGGGTGAAGGTAAGATACCTGGGGAAACCAAAATCCCAGCTGAGCAGGTGGCAGAAGAGGGATGCAACAGTTTATGCTATAACGAGGTCAGAATTATTTTCTAAGTTTCAGAACATGAGAGATAACAAAAGGTTAACGTACACCACACCAGAAAGCCAGGACAGAGAACGGCAACTATACCTTCATTTTACAACATAACGTGATAAAATCGTTACTCAATTGCTCAATTAGACCCAACATTTTCCAATACAACTGAGTTCTATGAAATAAAAAGTGCAGGTGTGTAGTTTTTTAAAGGACCACTTGGTAGCTCCTGTGTCCTCAACACCTAAATTTTTGTTCATTAGCTTCTTTATTAAATATAAACATTAATTTGACTACACACTAAAGAAGAGATTTTAATCAAAACAGTGATAAATATATATATAAAACAGTCTTATTTCTTTAAATCAAACCAAAACACAAAGGAAGGCTGACATTTCCATTTCATTCTCACCAGGCAACTGTATTTAAGATGGCTACTGAGACTCTTGGCCTACCAAAGGTTTTAGGGACAGATTTTGGAGCCAAGACTTGCAGTCTTTTTGGAAAAGCACCTGCAGGTATCACGTCACAGGGCCAAGTTCTGTTTTCCAGGATTTGAAAGACAATTACATCATTTCAAAGAAGGGAAATGAGCAACACAAGCCTCTCTGGCAATGCACAAGGCAGCCCTGAAGTAGCTCTCACACACAATCAATGAAATAAGAGAAAGGTTAGAAAAATAAGCAAGG